ATTTATTCTAATTTCAACTTTATTTTACTTAATTGATGTGTTCTTGCTCCTATTCAAACGATCTCAAGTGCTGACAACATGTCCATGTAAAATCGTAAGGATATAGGAGCATGAACCTGGGACTAATATATTATGTATTAGTTCCAACATTAACAGATTAAATAACTAAAAAATATTTGAAACATTTAAGACATTTTAGCTAAGTAAAAACAAATTAAAACACAAAAATAGAGAAAGAGAGAGAGGGAGAGAGAGAGGGAGTGTAATGAGCGTTAAACAGTTGACTTATTGTTTGACGGTTCACTAGATATTTCTTTTAGTTACATACCCACGCCGATGTCGACATGTGGTGTTTCGTAAGGAACATGTAAAAACGCTTTTACTTTATCTAAAATTGTGAACAAAATTCACCTATTTCATTAATCATGTAACAATGATTACCATTTGATTTGATAATTAAATAAGTCAAAATTTCATTTTAGAAACTGTTAATTTATGACAACTATTTGCAACGTCCATCGTATTGAATACCCGGACGATATGAGTATATACCTATATTGTCATGACCATACGCGTATGGTCGAAATACTCATATTGTCCGGAACATACCCACTAACCTTAATTTCAACACTTAAAGGGAAGTAATTCAAACATATCCTTTATTTTCTATTGAATTATCTCCCTTAATTTTAGGATTGCAAACTTTTGTTTTAGTCAGTATAACAATTGAAACTTGTTTGAGTTTTGTTTTGATATCTGAGCTAATTTTGAGTATTGAAGCTTTTTTAGATAATGCGGATTTTTTTTTTATTTCCTATGTCTAACATATGAATATTGTAATGTTATTTATTTCAGTTTAAAAAAATTATACAGACCCCCTCTCCCCAAGAAAATTAAACAACATACCAGTGTGAAAAAAAGAGGCTGAAGATACCATAGGGAAAAGAGAGACCGACAAAAACATATAAAACATATGACAAACGACGCAAAGACCAACAACAGTCTACACAACACTACATAGAAAACACAAGACTGAGCAACACGAACCCCACCATAAACCGGCGGATCTTATGTGGCCCGGAAGGGTTGTCAGTACCTGAGAAATGATGAATACTAGTGTTTAGGGTAAAAAAAGATAGAGAGGTCAAATGTTTTCATAATAATGCAAAAGAAAAGAGACTAAGATTGCTCGTCCTCTTCCTAAAAAAAAAGTTCATCGGGAGATACTAAGAACCTTGTTGATAAATATTCAGTATTAACTTCACAAATAATACATAATGGTCTTGAAGTATAGATTCTAAGTACTGACGTTCTTTTTCATCTTAGTTACGTGATATTGTGTTTTATTTGTCTTTGTATATTTTTAACCCTTGACTGATTAATGCATTTTTGGTAATATCCTTTTGGCGTGGCTCGGTATTTATACATCTTGCCATTGTGGTAATGTGTTATGAACATTTGTTTTATATTCTTGTCTTTCATTTATGCTTATTTGCTTAGTCTATAGAGTGTCTACATGCCTTCTTGTTTTATTTTGTTTGTTTTTATAGTCATTAAGATAATGACACAAAGTTGACTGCTGTATCCTAATTTTTGACAATTTTACCTATTATGTCTGTTTGTTTTGCTCACACATTATTGTCAATATAATAGAATACTATGCGACTGTCATACAAGTGAGAGGTTAAGCTAGGTATAACACAAGGTTTAATCCACCATTTTCTACAGAAGGAAATGCCTGTACCAAGTCAGGAATATGACAGTTGTTTTCCATTCGTTGGATGTGTTGGAGCTTTTGATTTTGCCATTTATTAAGGGACTTTCCGTTTTGAATTTTCCTTGGAATTCGGTATTTTTGTTAGTTTACTCTGTCAGATCTAACAGATCTTTGGCATTTAGTAATAGATGTATATTATACACTAAATACAAGCAAGAAAAACAAAAACATTATGATGAATTGAGAACCAAGTTATTGTTTTAGGTGGAGAGCTGAACAGAACAGCTTTAATCAAGTATCAGAGTGGCGAGACTGTGTTAATTACACAACAGTTCTCTACCGTTTCGTCAGAGCTTAAAGTTCATACATTTATAAAAGGGACAGTTCCAAATCCAGTGGATAGTATATTATTTAATGACTTCACGGAACAGTACAGACGCGTTTCCAGAGGTATTTCAATTTAATTAAATACATAATATAATTGTGATCAACTTTCATCCTGGCAATACTCATATATTAATTGTATACACAAGAAATTTACAATTATTTCATAATAATTGAGACCACAGATAAGAAATGTCACTTCAAGGAAACCAAACCTTCTATATGATAGTGAGTTGACTTTACAATGACATCCAATCATTAAAAGAATGTACAAATATTTAAGTTAAGTATTTCAATATAAATGCATTAAACGTAGATCACATCGACTAATCTGGGTTTTTAGACAATATGATAGAATGCAATGAATTTATTGCAAGAATGGAATAATCGCTTTTTTTTATTAAAATGTTTCCTTTCTCTTAGCGTAAAAACAGTGATAACAAGTAAATACCCCACGATAATATTGATGAAGATCTATATCTATATAGTTTTTGTAATGTTGCATTCTCTAATTTCATAGGCGTTATAAAATCGTGTTCTACAAGAAAATTTGAAAGTAATGGATTTACGTTCAATTTCACAATGGACCAGACTATAACGTTTAATGAATGCCAACTCAATCTATTTACACACAACACTATGAGATATGTTTCTACCAGAAATCTTGTTATGAATGACAGAAAGAATGATGTTCTACGATTTTCCTCGACCAATCAAATCGGTGAGATATAATTTCAACTTTTTTGTATACGGATTTACACCATTGATCATTCGACAAAATGTAAAAATCTTCCAATTTTAATACTATTATGCAACACAAATATATGTAGAAAAATGTAAATAAAATTTATTCATTTCGTCAGTAATCATCACTTTGGAACTGTGATGATTTATCCCATATTCTTCTGAGATTTTCTGGTTAAACATTCAGTTATTGGGACCTAAAGATAACATCTCCCTGAGACAAGGTCGACCTTATGTGGATTTGGTTATTATTTTGATGTAAATTTAGGTCATATATTCATACATCATTGGCTTTAAAGGTTTTAGAATTGAACAGTCCTTACAAAGACATATCTGAGAGCGCCTCGCACACACTAAAATTCATTCACAAAAAAAAACAACCAAAGGAATAAGGTCAACAACAATAGGCATTAACGAATTTTGTTTTAAAGCCAAGCTACAACAAGAATAATTCTGCTTATTTTTTATGATTTTTCTGAACAAAATCTTTTAAGGCATTAGGAATAACTATCTTTTCCAAACTTGGATTGAAAATGCCCATGGAAAGAGGAAAACCCTTTTTACTTGAGGTCAATATGTTATGGTCAGGAAAAACACAGGAGCTATTGATAGACTGGCATTTGGTTTCCGGGAGTTTTCTTTTCAACCATATGTTCAACTTATACTGAACTATGTCCAGTAATGCTTTTAGGGAGAGGAAGACGCTCTTAATTTGAGAGGTAATAGGTCAAATAATTTTACAGGCAATAGGTCAAGGTGTTATTGATCTACTGTAAGATTGGCAAAATTTGTTTTCGGATGTTGTCTATCGAACCATATGTTCATTTTTAATTTATCAAATATGTTCGATAATGCTCCATTGGATTTGCAAAACAATACTATTGAATTTGAGTGAAAAGGTAAAAGTCAAGGTCACATCAGCTATTTCTAAACTGAAATTTTGGCACAATTTCCCCCTATTACCAAGATGGTTCAATAGCCCCATGATATGAGAATCATAGCAGCTTTAGAAAGAATCAAATAAAGCCATAATGAGATAACAAACAAATCTTTAGATTTTTAGTTAACTAACTAGGTAGGTAACAAGTCAAGATTTAAACGTTATATTTTTTAATGAAAAACTGGTCTTTTTTAATTCCCAGCGGCTCTATTTCTTTCGAATTTGTCATCTTACATACACACAGATAAATAACTGTTTCAACAAAGAAACACAAAATGGCATATGGACAAAGTACATAAGCAAAAATAAAAGACAAGAATTCAAAATTCAACAGGTAGATGTATACTCCATATGCAGGCGCTACTGGAATGTTGCTTCATAGAAATGGAAAGTTAATAATTTGGAAACAATTGTTTGATCTTACCTGACTCTTACTGTCAATTTCTAGATGCAAGACAAGATATGCGTCAGACTTAACTGTATCTGTAGTATTCTTTATTTCAAGTTCGGTTAGATAGTTGTGTTCAACATAATTATCTAAGTTTTAATCATACACATAAAGGAGAAGGTCTATAGGAAGAGGAGCACAGTTGATTCCCAAAGAAAAGCCGATTGTTGGTTAAGAATTTCCTCAAAACGTAATAATATGTTGTTGATCAAGAAATCAAGCATCCTGATGATGTCAGTTTCAGACAATATTTCGATTTAGTCAGAATGGTTTTATCTTCCTAAATCTATTATCCCTACCTTAAACAAGATTTTTGTATCTACGTTGGTCATTCTTTTTTATGAAACAACGATAGATCAATTTGGAAAGTTTAAAAGATTGAGCATATCCTGACTATCTCTTACAAAACTTCCTATATGACAAAGTATTGAGTTTAAAAGAATATCTAACAAATCAAAAATGATCCAGAGGAGCAATTACTGCAAACAGTTTGGGAACACCTGAATTAAACAACACCTGAATTAAACCATTGGTTAAGATTGGGTTCATGTTAGTCAGCCTTCAGTTTTTTATGTAGTGCTTTGTTGACTGTTGTGTATCTTATTGTCGTTTTGTTTCTATAAGCAATCCTGTTTACCTTGACTCTTGTATTTATATTTTCTTATATTTATATATGCCTTGATATTTTCCTCTTATTATATGATATTTGACCTATGTTGGAAGATACTTTGTCGACCTTTATATCATTCATTTTCATATTTGTACAGACATAAATGCATGTGCATCTGGTCCATGTGTCAACGGAGGTAGCTGTACAGATGAAATGATTGGATATACATGTACATGTACAACCGGATATATTGGAAGTAATTGTCAATACGGTAAGAAAAGTGTGTGTGTGTGTTTGTTTGTGATGTTTTTGAATGACATGTTTATAAAATGATTAATAATATTAGATACTCTAATGATTATTCAACTCAAAGATATGGAGGTGGTGTTTGTTTTTCTTTTTATTGAAACATAAAAGAAAGTAGTAAAATTAGCTTCTATGTATAAATATTCAGCTGTGTTAGCATATAACGCTCATGCAATAAAAAGTAAAATCACAAAAATACTGAACTCCCGAGGAAAATTCAATCGGAAAGTCCCTAATCACATGGCAAAATCAAATGACAAAACACATCAAACGAATGGACAACAACTGTCATATTCCTGACTTGGTACAGGCATTTTCAAATGTAGAAAATGGTGGATTGAACCTGGTTTTATAGCGCTAAACCGCTCACTTGTACGACAATCGCACCAATTTCCCTGTCACAAAGAAAGTAGCTTGTAGGAGATAAAAGACTAAGACTTCGATGGAGGGAGAACAAGAGAAATGTAGTTGACAATTAATACACTGAATAAACTGGTGTTCGGACTAAACGAAAAATATGAATACGATAAGCAAAAATGCTCTACAGGAAGTTTGTGCAAGGGAATTAATATATTTTTTAAGTACCTATATGGAGTTATTTCCTTTTAGAACGATAGGTCTTTCTTTTGAGGAAACAATCCGAACGATACCAAGTTTTAATGGAATATGCTTCAAAGCACAACTAATTACCTGTGTAAGATCATTATTTGCCCCAATTAGAAATTTGTTATAATATTTAATTCATTTGATAGTAATAATGTCTTGTTGCAAATTAAAGGATTATTTTACAATTTACGTTCTTTCATATTTGATTTAAACGTTTAAGGCAGAAACAACACTTTGCGTCCATTCATAAGTTTGAAATACTAGTACCAGAAACGTCTTTAATGCACAGTTTAATCTTAAACACACCTGATATGAAGTTCTTCTAACTTATTGCTGCAATAAAGGGACATTATTTGAGATATAGTTAATAATGCAAAACTTTTCATTGCACTTTTAAAATAAGCCAAATGTTATCACATTCATGTGTAGGATTATAGAAAAAACAAGAAATCTTGATTTCCATCGTATTTGAAATCTATGGAGGTCCGTGTTTTAGTGTTACATGTACAGTACGATTTTGTGCTTTCTTGATGCCAGCTTCTGATTTTTTACATTTATATATATAGCTTTTACAAATCTCCAATTTTTTCACATTTTCTATTGGGGCGGCCACATAATTTAATGGTTGGGAGGTGCAATAATATTCCATATACCTATATGAAGTTATTTCCTCTTAGAACGTTAGGTCTTTCCTTCGAATATACAACACAGACGATTACAAGTTTCAATGAAATGTACTTCAAGGAATGAAATAATGACCCGTGTAAGGTTATTATTCAACCTGATTAAAAAGTAAAATAACAAAACAGAACTCCAAGGGAAATTCAAAACGGAAAGTGCTTTATAAAATTGCAAGATCAAATGCTGAAACACATCTGACGACTGAAAAACAACTGTCATAATCCTGACTTGGCACAGACATTTCCTTATGTAGAAAATGTTGGATTAAACTGGTTTTATAGATAGCTAAAACTCTCACTTGTATGACAATTGCATTGAATGAAACAATGCGCACTACAGTTTATTAGAATATTTAACTTATTTGAAAGTAATCGTTTATTATTGCAAATCGGCATTTTCTTTACAATTTTCCATCTTTAATATTAGTTAAATCGTTAGGCAGAAACAATCTTTTCCTTTATCTATTATATTAAACGCTTTAAACAGAAAATGTCTTTAACGCACAGACTAACTGTCGACACAAATAACGTGAAGTTTTGTTAATATATCGCTACAATAACGGGACATTGATATTGCGAAAATCAATAAAAACAATGGTCTAGAAGTTGTTTTTAGTTAATAAACAGTTTTATACTTTTCTAATCAGAAATGAAAAAATTACTTCCATATTTGTGATCAACTTACCATATTTCTATTTCGAAAACATTTTTGTATGAAGAGATTTAAGTCCTGAAACATACTTCTCTTCAATGAAAAGAGTTAGGTTAAACAGTGTCAGTTTTACGATCGTATAAACTTTCGATATCTTATACCAAATATCTAAGCGGCATCTTGCGAAACCAAAAATCAGAGCAAAGGTAAAAAAAATAGATCTTAAATTTCAAGTTTTTTTTATACAACACTAATGTTAAATATTAGAGTGTGAAAATCTAACATCAAATATTAACGTTTCCTATCAATCAAAATATACGAAAAGAAAAATTAACAACTTAGTAAAAATATTTTGGTGATATATATTAAACAGTTTCTGAGAAGAAGCTATAATAAGCAAAATTCAAACTTTAGAACATGACCTTGACATGTGAACATGGGTCATTTTCTTTTTGGTGGACCAAGGACTTCAAATCAAAAGACCTTAGGCATCGATCAATTATGGTTTACCAGTTACAAACACACATCACTTATTTCAAATTCACAAATTCGCTTCCTTCAAAATAATTCACGACATCCTGAGAAAATAGTTTTGTCGATATCTTTAACGTTTGCGAAGGAGTAGTAATCACATGAAAAAAAAGTTTATGGGGAGATAACTCTTACAAAGAAAAGTGTTTTGTTAAACTGTGTCAGTTTCATAGGCGTACACACTATACGATACCATGTACTAAATATCAAATGAAACAAAACAAGCAGCACAAAAGAATTTGGCGGAAGAATAAAAAAAAATAATTATAATAATGTACCAATTGTTCTCTATCCACCAGTAAATTTCTCAATCGTTGATAAGAAGTCACTTCCGGTTTATTCAAAGTTGCTACTGGGGTCCAATCATAGTTTATTTCATACTGATTCCGAAAACATATGCTTTCTGTGTACTTTTGACTGAAATAAGGGAGATAATTTGTTACTTCCGTGTAAAACACGTCACTTCAAGTCTCATATTAAGAAGGGATATAGTTACGATACTGTTGTCAGGTCATTAAAGATTGCATTTTGGCGTTAATATTGATTCACTTATAGGGTCTTTGCATCGGCACTAAACACATTTATTTAAAAACCAGTTGTTGGCATGACACGGGTTATGTTCTTCTCATATATGTTATGATGGTATGATACTAAACCCCTAACGGGAAGGATTGTGCCTGATATTCATATGATGAAGACATAATCTTTCAATCAGTTTAATTGAAGTCTGGAGCTGGCATGTCAGTTAACTGCTAGTAGTCTGTTGTTATTTATGTATTATTGTCATTTTGTTTATTTTCTTTGGTTACATCTTCTGACATCAGACTCGGACTTCTCTTGAACTGAATTTTAATGTGCGTATTGTTATGCGTTTACTTTTCTACATTGGCTAGAGGTATAGGGGGAGGGTTGAGATCTCATAAACATGTTTAACCCCGCCGCATTTTTGCGCCTGTCCCAAGTCAGGAGCCTCCAGCCTTTGTTAGTCTTGTATTATTTTTAATTTTAGTTTCTTGTGTACAATTTGGAGTTTAGTATGGCGTTCATTATCACTGAACTAGTATATATATTTGTTTAGGGGCCAGCTGAAGGACGCCTCCGGGTGCGGGAATTTCTCGCTGCATTGAAGACCTGTTGGTGGCCTTCTGCTGTTGTCTATTCTGTGGTCGGGTTGTTGTCTCTTTGACACATTCCCCATTTCCATTCTCAATTTTATCATAAGATAGCTTTATTTACACTGATTCCAAAAATATATGGTTTTGATATACCTTTGCCGGAAATAAGAGAAATTATTTGCTACTTCGGTTTACAGAAGATGAGGTCCGGTCTAATGAAAGGTTTATCCTCTTTTCATGACAAATATGTAGTTGTTCCAGCAGATAAAGCCTCCAATAATATTTTTTTCATATTTTCATAGGCAAAAACGATTATTTGTAATGTCTCAAATAAAGATTAGAATAAACAGCAAAACGGTAATCCTACATATTCATTAACATCATTTTAAAAGGATGAAATTTTAGACAATCACAAATCAGTTCTTTTTTCTTTTGGTATTAACATCAAAGAAAACGAAGAATATCTACCGTCATTATACTGGATATAAAAACTTCACAAAACTCCTTATAAAGAACGGTACAAAGCTGGATCACTAAAACATCTTTCAAAAGTGCTGACTACTATATCTTTCTACAGTAAGAGATGGCCTTTCGAAATATTGTGATGAGATATATTCAACCAGTGATGTCAATCAGATGTGGATTCTTAAAAATTCTTAAGATCTACTGCTAAATCTTAGATCACAATCTCTGCAATTTTGCAGCAACATTAAGACCTTTGATTTTTCACTATTATTCCCCATGCTCAACTGAAAGATCGACTTCACTATCTCATTAAACAGGGCCTTTTCTATAAAATTGGGAATCGTAGTTATAAATTTCTTGTTTTGGGTTATAATAATTCTTATTTTGTGAAGAACTACACTGAATCTATTAGAAAATACACTGAAGATGATATTATCAAAATGCTGGACTTTTTGATCGACTATATATTTGTTATATTTGGAGGAATAATATTTCAACAGACAGTCGGTATTCCAAAGGGTACTAATTGTGCACCTCTACTAGCCGATTTTGTGTTGTATTCGTATGAAGCAGAAGTCATTCAGAGCCTTCTAAAAGAGAAAAAATAGCACCTTGCGAAATCTTCTTTCAGATGTATTTATGATGTCCTATCACTGAATAACTTATATTTCAGTCAGTTCTTGCATCTCATATATCCCATTGAACTTGAAATTAAGGATACTACTGATGCTAGAAAGACTGCTTCATACCTTGATCTTTTTCTCAATATTGACAAAGAATGACGACTTCAGACTAAAATCCATGACAAACGGGATGATTTCAACTTCCCAATTATCAATTTCCCGGTAACATACCCACTGTCCCGTCGTATGGTGTTTATATATCTCAATTGATACGTTATGCTCGTGCGTGTTCA